AGTAGCTGGAACTACAGGCGCGTGCTACCACGCCCGGCTAGTTTTTGATTTATTGTAGAGATGAGGTCTCGCCAAGTTGCCCAGGCGGGTCTCGAACCCGCGGGCTTAGGCAATCCACTCACCTCAGCCTCCCAAAGGCGCGGGATTACAGGCTGAGCCACCGAGCCCAGCTTCAAACATATTAATCACTCAACACCAAGTATCAGTGTGAAGTGTCAGAGATACTGGGTCCAAGCCCTCAGAGAACTCACTTTGAGGTGACAGACTTACAGGTTACTGAACCTGTAAGTGCACACTGTCACGAAAAGCCGAGGATGCTCATTTAATAGCAAAAGGAGGTAATACCTTTTCTGCCTCCATGCCTTCCTTCAACCTTCTGCATCAGGATAATCCCCATCCCATTTTGGTTTCTGCATTTCCAAATCTTAATTACTCTTCAAGGCCCGAAACCAAAGCCACCACTTTCTTCAAACAGGAGGTCATGGCTCCCCATCTCAGGAGAGCAGGAATGCCAGCCTCCTCTGCACCAGGCACTGGCATCTGCAATCCCATAATCCCATTCCATCCTGGCAACAACTCAGGAAAGCCATATTACTGCCACTTTTCATCAATTATAAGATGCACCCCCACTTTTTTTTCACACATTTAACAGTTGCTGAAATCTGAATGGTATCTTATCATTAAGATTGGCAGCTTTTTTTTTTATTCTTAGTGGTACATTAAATACGGGCATATAGCCGGGCTCGGTGGCTCAGCCAGTAATCCCGTGCCTTCGGGAGGCTGAGGTGAGTGGATTGCCTGAGCCCACAGGTTCGAGACCCGCCTGGGCAGCGAGACCTCATCTCTAAGCTTAGCCAGGCGTGGTGGCGTGCATCTGTCATTCCAGCTACCTGGAAGGTAGGGGTGGAAGTATTGCCTGAACCCAGCAGGTCGAGGCTGCAGTGGCTGTGAGTGTGCTACTGCACTCCAGCCTGGATGACAGAGTGAGACTCCAACTCAAAAAAAAAAAAAAAGACTGGGGCTCTTCATTGCCCCACTGACCAAGCACTAACTGACCCTCTTCTGATGACACTTGCCACTCACTATCTCATTTTACAGTTAGCTGTGTGTTTCTGATCTGTCTTCCTAGTCCTGGCCACTAATTATGGACTCCTTAAAAAAAAATGATCATTTTTGGAGCCAAGGCAGGAGGCTACCTTGAGGCCAGGAGTTTGAGACCAGCCTGGGACACATAAAGAGGCCCTCTCTACAAAAACTAAAAAATAAACTACACGTAGTGGTGCATGCCTATAGTCCCAGCTACTCAGGAGACTGAGGTGGGAGGATCACCTGAACCCAGGAGTTCAAGGCTGCAGTGAGCTGCACTCCAGCCTGGATGAGAGCAAGACTAAAAAGAAAAAAAAGAAAAGGATGATGATTTTTAAAAATATAATCTTATGAAATAGTTTATGTAAATCACAAAACAAAGTGCCTAGCACAGAAAGACTCAATTATTGTGTCTGTCTCAAGCCCTGACTTCCCTACCCACAGGTCTTAAGCCTCTAGCCTTATTCTCCATCGCACCCCACCCACAATTCCCAGAGCCATCCAGTGAGATATAAAAAGTGCTGCCTGTCAGGAGTGGTGTCGATACACAAGCAACGTCCCTGTGTCCTTCTTTGGGTTTCTGCCTCCTCCTCCGTATGCAGAAGTGATGCCAGGCCTGCCTCCCTCACAGGGTTGTGGCACAGATTAAAACTGATAAAGGGAGTATGGACAGTTGTTATAGCCTCTAAAAGGATCTTCCCATTTCTATCTGTGCTCCCGCTGTCCATTTTCCACACAGCAGAAAACGTGATCTTTTAAATGTGTAAACCAGCCAGGCATGGTGGCTCACACCTGGAATGCCAGCACTTTGGGAGGTCAAGGTGGGAGGATCACTTGAACCCAGGAGTTCAAGACCAGCCTGGGCAACATAGCGAAACCATGTCTCTACAAAATATCTAAAAATTAGCCAGGCGTGTGCCAGTGGTTCCAGCTACTTGGAAGGATTCCCTAAACCCTGGAGGTCAAGGCTGCAGAGAGTTGTGGTTGTGCCATTGCACTCCAGCTTGGGAGGCAGAGGGAGACCCAGACTCAAAATAATAGTAAGTAAATAAATGTGTACACCAGATAACACTTCCTGACTTAAAAACTTACACAGCTTTGTGTCACACTTAAAAATAAAGCTAGGCCATTGCCTTGCTCTGCTATGGTGTGGCCATGTGCTCTTGGAGATATGGTCAGGCCATGTTTTCTTAAGTTTTGGCCCCCTCTCCAACTTTAAGGAGGTGAATCTCCTCTCTCTTTCTTTCGAATTTAGTTTTTAAATAAACTATAATTTCCTAATCTAAAAAAGTAAAATAAAGCTCACCCTCTTTATCATGACCCACATGGCCCTGGGTGACCTGCAACTGACTAGTTCTCTGATTGCATCCCTCTGGCCTCCTTCTGTCTTCAAGACATCAGGCTCTATACTTGGCAATTGCATGTACGAATGAAAGCCTCCCCAAGCTCCTCTACCCCTAGGCTCCTCATTTCCCCCATGCCAGTGTAACCTGGTGGCTTAACCGGTCACAGGACCTTTGCAATAAAAATGCGCTTCCCCGGAAGAAACTTTGCACAGCTATTCAAGTCTTAGTTTCAATATCCCGCCCTTTTCCTAGACTCCTATCTACAGCAGCTCCTGCTGGGTCCTAGCACACTGTTTTCATAGCTCTTCTCGCCCTTTGAAATAACAATTTTTTCTTTTGAGACAAGGTCTCGCGCTGTCGCCCAGGCTGAAGTACAGTGACGCGATCATAACTCACTGCAGCCTCGATCTCGCGGGCTCAAGCGATCCTCCCGCCTCAGCCTCCCGAGTAGCTGGGACCACAGGGGTGCGCCACCACGCCCAGCCGAAATTACTTTTATTAATTGCCGAATGTCTGTCTCGCCCACTAGACTGCAACCTCCACGAGGGCAGAAAACCTCCAAGTCATTAAATAATGCTTGGCAGCCAGGTGGCGATCCAAAAATACTGAATAGTTGCATATAATTGTCCTCCAAAGAACAAGCAGGTTCCACCCAGCCCAAAAGATACACTCTGTTCGGCCTGTCCCGGCCAGGCTCAGGCCGTCCAGCCCCGGGACCGGAGTTCCCCTGTGCGCGGCGCTCACCGTCGGACACCATGGCGAACCCAGAACCCCTGCACCGAGCGGGTTCGGTGAGGGAAGCGGTCGGATCCTGCACAGGCCAACTTCCGGCGCCGCCGAGTGACGTAAGCGGTGGTTTGGCCCGGGCCCGGCCCCAGAGCGCCGGAAGTGCGATGCGCAGGTGCGCCGCGCGCTGTCAGGCTCTGTGGCTCGCGGACGGCGAGGTTGCCGAGCCCGCTCCAGGCAGCGCGGGCGGTTCCCAGCCCCTCGGGCTCCGCGATCGGGAGGGCAGCATGGACGACAAGGGTAAATCAGGACGGGCCAGGGCTTCTGGGCTGCAGCGGAGCCGCGCAGGGGTCCACCCCGGCTGCTCATGCCCAGACTGGGCTCCGGGATTGATCGCTTTCCACGCTCCGGCTGCTTGGCTGGATGTTTCTTTTAGTCACAACTATGTTCCCCGCGCTGCTCCTGTGTCCAGGGATGGGGCCAGAGAGTGTCCGCTGACACCCCTCTCACGGGGACACACACATACACACACGCTGCTTCTAACTGCCCTTCTCCAAAAAGGCCTTCGCAGTCTCGATTTTCTCATCTGTGAAGTAGAAGTAAGACTCCCTGCCCTGTTGGACCGGTTATTAGAATCAAAAGAAAAAGTCATGTTTGATGTGCTCATCAAGTATGGTCATCAGGGTGTTTTACTGAGTGAAAAATAAGGGGTGCACCTCTCACGTCAAGAAATAAAGGGGAACCGGGCTCGGTGGCTCAGCCGGTAATCCCGCGCCTTTGGGAGGCTGAGGTGAGTGGATTGCCTGAGCCCGCGAGTTCGAGACCCGCCTGGGCAGCGAGACCTCATCTCTACAATAAATCAAAAAGTCAGCCGGGCGTGGTAGCGCATGCCTGTAATTCTGGCTACTGGGAAGGCTAAGGCGGGAGGATCGCCGGAGCCCAGCAGGTCGAGGCTGCGGTGGCCGGGAGAGGCCACTGCACTCTAGTCTGGGCGACAGAGTGAGACTCCAACTCAAAAAAAAAAGGCGGGGGGGGGCTTGCATTCGCTTAGGCTGTCTGAAGGGGTGCAGGAGAAATTGATAAGGTGATTGACTCTGGGATTCTCTCAGAACTTAGGGCCAAGGATAGACAGGAGAATGACTTTTCATTATCTTTTAGTAGAGGTGAACTTTTTTGCCTTGACACCAATAGATTTTCCAAATAAGAGAGATTGTGCAAACAGCAAAGCATCTCCCTAAAGATGCCTTCTTTATTTGCGACATTATTTATCATGTCTCTGAAGGCAAATACCCTGAAAAGAAAGTATTTTTAAAATTATTTTGGGACGGGCATGGTGGCTCAAGCCTATAATCCCAGCAATTTGGGAGGCCAAGATGAAAGGATTGCCTGAGCCCACAGGCTTGAGACCAGCCTGGGCAACTTGGTGAGACCTCATCTCTACAATAAATCAAAAAACTAGCCAGGCGGGGTGGCACATGCCTGTAATTCCAGCTATTTGGAAGGCTGAGGCAGAAGGATCGTCTGAGTCCAGCAGGTCAAGGCTGTGGTAGCTGTGAGTGTGCCACTGACAGAGTGAGAGTAAAATTATTTTACTTCTTTTTTTTTTTTTTTTTTTTT